CAAAGGACAGCGCGGTACGGGTGGGTGAGTGATTGATGCCGGGCCCTCGCACCCCACAGCTGTTGCCACAAAATCCGCCGTGAGAGCAAGACAGACCCCGCTGCCCCCAGTGCAGTGGGCTAAGGGGCCATGCGCCCCGCGTTTCCCGCGCCCACCACACGGCCGCACTGGGGGTCGGGGGGGCGCAGTTTCTGCACCATCAGTACCCGGCGACGGGGGCGGGTGTGGCGGTACACAGCTGTGCTTCCCCTCCTCCCCTCAGCCGTGCCTGGGCACCTGCCGTGACAGGACAGAATTGCCTGTGCAGAGGCGCTATGTGGCAGCGCACAGTGCTACCCGTGTGTGTACTTGTACACGTGTACAGTGCCATAGCAGCGGAGTTCAGGGCTCCGGGCAAAGCCCACAGAGGCAGCCCACCCCCGCTCCATGCACAGATCCAGGGGGCACCCCCCATGCCTGCCTGGGAGTGCACACAGAGGCACAAGCCGCCCTTCCCTCATCCCTGTGCCCCCTAAACGAGCCGCTTGCAGTTCCATCCCATGACCCTCCCTCACTGGGCAGTGCCTGTTGGTGCCCCTTTGCTTCAGTGCCTGGGGCAGTCACCCCACTCCGCTACAGCACTGCATGCGTGTGCCCATACACACATCTATAAACACCCAGCCCCTCACACCACAGCTTTTGCCACAAAATCTGCAGTGAGAACATGAGGGGCACCCTGTTCCCTCTTCACCTTGGCACCTACAATGGCAGGTAAGAATGGCCTCTGCAGAGGCAATTGGCAGCAGCTCATAGTGCTTCATGAGTGTGTAATTGTACACCTGTGTGTAAGTATGTGCGCACACACACACTAGCACCATGTGCTGTTGGAAATTACCTTTCCATCTTGATAGTTTTAATTTCTTTTTAAATGTAAGCAGTCTGTGCTGAGGAAGAAAAAGAGCTGTATTTGGCTTGGAGGGCTGAGCTCCACTAACTCCTGTGAACAAACTCACAGCACAGTAGTAAAACTTGTGACCAATCCTCTGTGCCAACTTGCGTAGCAAAATTCAGTTAAATTGTTTACCTAGCTTTAACACATCCTGAAAAGTATACAGCTTTTCCTACATTGAACAGTTTGTGTTGGACTGACAGGCACTAGTAGCCATAAAGTCTGCCCTAGGACAGAGATCCATGGGGCTAAGAAATATAAAGAGGGTGGTCAGCTCATCACCATAACTGCTTCAGGTATTTCCCTTACTGCACAGAGATATGCAATCTTAATTTGAATTGTTTACCCAGGTTTAACGGATCCCAAAATGAGAAACGGAGCAAAGTGGACAATACCTAGTCCCCACTTGCACTGGCAATTGTCCTCCACACAAAGGAATTTGTGTCAGTGAATTGCTTAAATGGGAAGTACATTTAGTCTAAACCAGATCTGGTGCAAGCTAAAAAGAAAAAAAAAAAAGGGGGGGTTACCGTAACAGGCAGAAACAATGCATGCAACCAAGAGTGTCACAATAAGTTCAACTTCCAAAAATCACAAGACTTCCAGGAAACAAAAGTGAAACTAATGATGTAGTAGCTTTGTTGTGTTAAATCCAACATTTGTCAAGGTCAGGCACAAACATTAGGGAGTCACGAATAAGGAAGCAAACATTTAAACACAAATAACTTTTAGACTCTTTTCATTTGCCCTTTTTCAGCCCTTTAAGATAATATTAGTTTAACAACTTTGCAATTATAAGGGAGTTAGAAACTTGTTTAAAAGTGAGAGCATTTCACATGATTACTGGATTCCACAAGCTGGAGGAGAACCCCAGTTGTGTTTCAAGGTTGTGGAAACTACAGGAACTGGCAAGACTGGAAAGAGAATTGAGAAGTGAGACTGCTGAAAGTCTCCATTGGAGCGGTTTACCTGATAGATTAAAATGTCCCTAATTCCCTGCCATTTTAGGTGCCCAAGACATTGGAGGCACTCATTCTTCTCACTAGAGATTTTTTGTGGCTGTAGTTGTGGTGCGCAAGAGGGCCCAGCTAGAACGGATGTCCTTGTGAAAGCTTCTGAACAAATATTGCATGGCTGGTTGCAGCCACAGGGGATTGAACTCAGTGACCTGGGGTCACATCTCATCCTGTAATTCTATGCTTGCATTTTTCATCCTTATTACTATTGAGCAAAAAAAGATATTATTTCATAAATTATTTTTAGCCTGGCACTATTCCTTTTTAGGATCATTGTCATTTGTCTGCTTTTATGAATAGCGTGTCCTGGACTTACCATTCCTAGGAAGTGTTAAGATAGACTGCAGTTGTTTTTCATTGACTGGTTTCTTTAAGATCCTGTTCAGTATAGAGTTCTCTCCCATTCGGCTGTGGGGGACACTTAAAATAGCAGATAACAATGAAAACGATACCGATAATATTCAGTTTCTTTTTTTCATCAAAATATAAGCACATAGCCTACCAGTGTGTCTAGGAAAGCTTTTCTGAAGCCGGTGGCTGCCTGCTTGTGAAGAGCAAGACCCAGGCTGAAATTGAATTTTAGTATAAATGATGAGGTTATGCAGAGCTGCTTTTCCAATTTATTGCAGAAAATTCAATTAAGGAAAAGAGCGATGCATTTAAAGTTAAGTATGAGATACAGTGATTGCTTCTTCCAGTGCCAGTGGGAGTTAAGTACTCAGCACCTCCCACAGTCAGGTCTTGCACAATTTACAGGGGAGCAAAACTTATTGTAAACACTGCTCTCACCAATTATGTTCAGAATTGCTGATTGGCAAGGTTTTACCTTTCTTCAGCAGGAGTTTCCCTGTTACTAAATTTTTGTGGATAAAGCAGCTTTAACATCCACCCTCAGTTTAGGTTTTGTTTGGCAATTATTACTGGTGGCAACTGTTACAGGGACTAGAGCTTTTGAGAGGGAGTCATTATAAAAAGTGGAGTACTCTATAAGTATACCCAGATTTTTAGTTATGTAATAGATCTATTACAGGACTTAAGGTTTTTCCTGTTCTCTTAGTTTTACAGCAGAGGAGAAAACGATTATGCAAGGCAATCATTAAAACTGACTGTGCATCTGCAAAGCTTTACCAGGGGTGCAGAGCTGGCTTTAGGAAAAATGGCACCCTGAGCAAACTTGCTTTTTGGCACTCCTTCCTCCACCTGGCATCCAGCCTCCCCAGTGTCTGACCCCATGGCCCAGCAGAGAACAGCAGCCTAGAGCAGAAGGTGCCAACAGCAGTGCTCAGGCAGAACGGCTTCCCTTTCCGCTCAGAGTCCAGCGAGAAACACTTGAGGCCCAGGGCAGTGATCAAAAGCAGCAGGACACAGCTGGAGAGTGCAGCACAGGCTCCCCAGGTGCCCCACTTAATCCTCTGCCACTTCCCCACCCCTGCTGGAAACCCCCTACTGTCTTAGGATATAAGGATTAGGATTAAAAAATTAATATCCAAAAATATTTAATATAAAAATTTAAAACTATGTAATGCAATTTAATAAGTATTCAAAATATTCAATATAATTGATATTTAAAAACATTTAATATAATTTTGAAAATGATCTGTTTAACCTCTTCTGATCAGGTTAAATCGATAACAACTACTGCTGGGAGCCGCTCCCCAGACCCTTTGACAGGGTGGGAAGGAGGCAGAGGCAAAGCTCACCACATAACACAGCCCACATGAAGCCACAGGCTGGGAGGGAGGGAGCACCTGTGAACAAGTAACTAATTGCTTAATTGACAAATCATTAGGCCACCTGCCCTTTTTTTCTTTAATCTCATAGATTGATGCCACAAAGTTTTGACCTGGTTAAGTGTACTTCCCCCTGTTCTGTTAAGAAGCCTGGGGAGATTAGCAAGATGGGGCGGTCAGTCTTTGAGGCTTGCTCTTTTTGCTGCAGCTGACATCTAGCAGAAAGTGACATTAAGGTACTACAACTACTATGGGTCAATTTGAAGTTTGTTTAAAATTGTAAAAATGCGTTTATGTTTAAATAGTAGAAGTTACTTCTTAAACATGTTGGTGGGTTCTGCATTCAATAAAAAGGGATGGAACAAGACCCCTTCTAAGTACTGTAGTTTTGCATTTTTTGGGTTGCATCTTAACAGGTCTTAATAGCTTGATGTATATACACCTAGATCTGATTTACCAAGCCGTATGACACATGGAGTCCAGTTGAAGTAGCAGTCCAATTTCAGACACATTCTAAAAAAAATCCCACTTACCACACAACACTTACGTTAGAGAAAGGAAAAGATATTTAGGAGGAGGATCGAACCCTTAAACCCTGTCTGGGACTCAACACCTCTCAGGCTTTCTTTCCCATCAACAGATTGAAGAGCAAGAGTATAGTGGAAGAAGAAGAATGGGATGTAATGAGTCCTTGATTCCTCCCATGTCTTCTTTACCAATTACAGCTCTTCTTCAATTTGTTTCCTTCTTACCTATGAAAGTTACCAAAACAATTTCTCAGGTGGATCTAGGATCATTGCCATTTCCTGCAATGTATTCCTGAAATTGTGCTGGTATATTAGCCAATTCTGTACCCTTAGATAGTACATAGGGAAGCAAACAAGTTCTCACCAGAATCCCAGATAATGAGTGGAAAGAAGGAAGTCATCAGCATAGCATAACAACCAGCTGATGGAAGAGAGGCAGGTAAATGATGAATTTGCTGGTTCTGCTGTTTTTTGCTGGAATTCATAGGAAAGTAGGGTTAGAAGGTACCTGAGGAAGTAATGTAGTCTAAACCCTAGCTCAAGGCAGGATCATCTCGGTCTAAACCATTCCACTTAAGTGTTTTTCTAACCCAGGGGGGTGACAATGTTTTTGTGCAAAGTACCAGAAATACCCGCAACTTCAGCTTGTAAGAAGTTGGCATGCCAGGGGAGATGCGGGGCGGAGAGACACAAAGGGCTCAATCCTTGTAGTGGCAGTGTAGCCCCAGCCCCTTCCCTGCTGCCCTATCTGAGGTACGTGGACCAAACAAAATGCCTTCAAGTGCCATGCTCTGGCACCCATTGTGGGGGTCGCCTACCCCATGTCTAACCTGTTCTTAAACTTCTAAGGGTAGAGATCCCACAACCTCTCTTGGTAACCTGTTCTAATGCTTACCCACCCCATAGCAGGAAAATCCTTTTTACTATGCCAGTGGCCTCCAGCAGGCACAGCCCGGGGAAGTGCTGGGAGCTGTGGAGCTGCTGGGCCGCCCCCAGCGCCACAATCCCTGCGCCCACCACGAGCACCCCGGGCTGGGGCCACCAGAGATCACCCGCTGCCCTGAGGGAGGAGGCTTGCCCTGGTGTAGCCCACACTGGGCACAAGCAGAGGGAGGGCTGGTTGTTCACACACACTCAGCTGTGTCAGTGTGGTGAGGCCCAGCTCTCCCCAGAGCCACCTCCACCCCAGGCAGCCTATCCAGCCATCATTTCCATTAACCCATCAGTTCCACTGGCCATTCTAAGACACTTACTCCTTTTCCAATCCCCTTTGGCACCAGAGAATAGCCTGTTGTCATCATCATTATAGCAACCCTTCATGTATTGAAGACTTGGTCAAAACTTCTTTTAGTTTTTTCTTTTTCACACTAAATAGCCTGGAGCTGAAATGTCCAAGTAGCAGCCCTGTTTCATCACAAGACACACCAACTCAGATGTATATCTTCCAGGAAGAGGTGGAGAACAATGACTTGACATTTCATCCACTTCAGAGAGGAACCACAGTCTTGGCTACTGTTCTACAGGATAAGATCAGAAGTCATACTCAGTATAGCTCTTATGCCACAACCTTTTGACCTAGTTATGTGTACTTCCCCCTGTTCTGTTAAGAAGCTTGGGGAGATTAGCAGGTGCTTTAGAAAGGAATGTTAATAAGCCACCTTGGCAGCTGGCATCTTATTCCCTCAGGGTAGTGTATTGAACAGCTGGAGCAATTGGTAGTGACATATAAGGGCTTGTCTAGTGGGACAGCTGGGAAATTAAGGAAACTCAGCCAGAAGTGTGAACTTTACATAAGATAAAGTGAGTTAGGCCACCCTAGGGAGTCTCTCATTCAGATGCATAATAGGCTTAAATCTTTGTAGCTTAATCCTTCCAAGTGAGGAAATGGTTACAAGGCAGTTAAATCAAAATAGTTTAGTTCTTCAGGGAAAGGAGAATGAGCTATGTCCGTATTTAGCTCTTTCATATCCCTGTAACTGTGTGCCCTCATTAGGCATGGCCCAGTAAACTTATTGACAAAAAAGACTCTCATCCTGTAAATGGAATAGTTATGCTAATAAAG